CACCATAACCTATACGTATATCCCCGGTCTTGACGTTTCATATTCATTTTACATATCGTCGCCTAAATACGTTAAACTGTTAACTCCATTTTCATCACTTTGGTGATATTTATCTATTTCACAACTATGACTCCTTTTCTATCATACCAAAACTAAATGTTTGTCAAGTTCGTACGAAAACTGATTGAAAAGCCATGATGAGTAAAGCTGCTAACTGATCCCCACATCTTATTCATCGAAATGCTGCTATCTCCAGTCAAAACAAAGTGACAGGTGCACGTGTGCTCCTCAAACGCTCTTCAGCTCTAGAATAAATGTGGCTTCTTTTTGAAATATCACAGACATTAGTTTCTTGTTCCGGGTAATACTTTTTGATGAAAGGTAAGTTTGATTTTGTAAAAATATGTTTATTTTGGTTTATAGTAAACAAAATTACCGTTATGTTGGAGTGGCAGCTTTTCTCTTAAATTACGTTTTATTATTACTATTTATTAATGTTTAACTGATTTCTTGAGTTAGCTATTGGTGTATGAGTGTGCCATTTTTTTATTTTTTGAAGAGCAATCGGTTACCAATATAATGGTTTGTTGACCTACACTACCGGCGTCTAGGTTAGGTTGCATACTAGCATATTTACATCGTAGTCGTACGTCATATAACTGTACGCTGGCGCTGTGGACGTGATCGAGGGTCAGGACCGTCTTTGGTTTGATTCAGGTTTGAATGAGTTTGCGGAGCCCAATATCTCGGTTATCTTAAGAGATTGATATATATGAAAATCTGCTTAGTTTCTCAATGTCTACACGTCGTATAAAGGAAAACCCTAACTTTGCGGACAACCTGTATAAGGCTCATATATTAAACAAAAATGAGGTCAGAGCAGAAAAACAAAAGGATCTGGAAAACCAGAAATGCGTATTTACTGTTGATCGTCAAGCTATTTTAATGTCTCCTAAATCTAATGTTAGCAGCTCATATAACAGACAAAATTATGCGTTCACAGCCTTTGCTTTTATAATAATTATGCTCAACAAATTGTTTCTTATGGCATGAGGGTAAGGGTGGACTAACCGCAGAAGAATTTTCCTCATGTTTCTAATCATTTTTGGAAACAAAAGTGATTCCTACAATGGACAAAGATGACCGCAATATAATAATGTGATGGGTGTACGTGCCAGAACAGAAACGTGATTTTCTCTAACGCAGCTTTACATTTATGCAGAAGACATGATATTACACTTGAGAATAAATATTTAGAGGTTGGACATACTCAAATGCTAGTGGATTCCATGCATGCCATCATAGAACGTTGTGTAAATCGAGTAAGGCTAATCGTCCCTGCAGATTATCCATACCACTTCAAAAAAAAACAGAAAAAATCCTAAGCCCTTCGAGGTAATTTATTTATTTATTTATTTATTTATTTCCAACAGGTGAAACCCAATTACAGGAAACGCTGAAAAAATAGCAATTAAAGAGACATGGTTCTTGGACTTAAATCTATAGTATCACACATTCTAAATAAGATTGGATGATCTATAACAGTTAATAATCGTTGCACAACTGTCACTGTAAATATCACACGATTCAGTAACACTGTTCATGACGCAGCACATGAAATTAATTGGCGATTTTGTCATAACATTTGTACGGCCAGCTTGACAATAGAATGCCATTTGTTGTCGACTCCCTAGCCTTGGAACGCGGAAACATATTTTTTCAAGTAAATTTTGACAGTCAATTTTGTTGTGAATGAGGCCATACAAAAACGACAAAGCAAATATGTTTCGTCTTGTTGACAGTGAATCCAAATTGAAAGACTCTAATAGGGCACTATGGTCACAACCTCTTTCTGGATAAGAACCTGTGCATTTAAGGTGAAAATACTTTACAGCTTTACGTTGAATGGCCTCAAGGATCACGACAGAATTTTGGTATATAGGAGACCAGATCAGAGTTGCATACTCCAACTTGCTCCTGACAAGAGTAAAAAATAAAGTTATTAATGTATCAACATTGGAGAAACCCTTCCAGTTTCTGATACAGAAACCAAGTAGTCGAGTGGCAGCCGACGAGATATTGAGTATGTGCTCAGTAAACGTTAGCTTGGTATCAAATATGACTCCAAGGTCTCTATAAGAGGTGCATCTGTCTATAACCTGACCATTGATGTTATAATTATCATAAATTAAATAGTTCACTTTTCTTGTATAAGTCATAACTTTACATTTCGAAACATTCAGACTGAGACAGTTTCGTAAACACCATGACGAAATTAGAGCTAAGTCATCTTGCAACATGACGCAATCCTCGACTGTCTTGACTGACGTGCAGATTTTGAGGTCATCAGCGAAAAACAAATGGAAACACTTCAGTTCAAAAGACAAGTCATTAATAAATATTAAAAACAATAATGGACCTAGATTTGAACCTTGAGGTACCCCAGACGTGGCCCGATAGTAACTCGACCTATGACCACCATATTCGACAAATAACCTTCTATCCCTCAAATATGAATTCATGAGCGACAGCATTGCATCAGACATACCCACTGTTTTAAGCTTATCCAGAAGTGCATAATGATCAACTTGATCAAAAGCCTTCTGAATATCTGTGTAGATGACATCAACTTGTCCCTGACCGTCCAGTACTTCAGAAATGTATTGAGTAATTAGAGCCAAGTTGGTAATGTACTTAGATCACTCTTTCTCCCGATTAATCAAAAAAGTTAGGAGCTGTTAGAAGTTTTTGACCAGGGAATAAGCTAGGAGAACCAAAAGTAATAAAAACATTTAAATTATATGAGTGCTTGGTATATTTAATTGTTTAATTTCTATTTGTAGGTAACTGATATTCGGGGCCTAAAATATACACCGGTAGGGGACATCTATTATAAACTTCGGTTGTCTGATGAATGAAAATTACTTTCGCAAAGAAAATCTCAAATTGACATTATTGCCTGGACAGTGTTGGACCATCTGTATAAAGATAAAATTCCAATATCTGCGCGAAAATATTCCGACCTTCAAGAAATTAACTGTACTATTCCAGGAGACTATCACCATTTTTATAATAATTTGCCACACCTGTGAATTTGTAGATATTTTAGTTTAGATGTTTTGATCATTAAGAGTACACTAAAATAAATACCTATTCTACTAAAAATAAAAGTTGCTAACTCCAAAATTCCTTCTTTTCTATTCAAATGAACAACTGCCAACTCCAGTTATTGTCCATAAAATCTAATACTTTAATTTTTACCACATCTATTTCTTGTTAGCACATTGAAAATATCATCAAAAATATTCTTCTTTAATAGCGGCTTGTTTAAATGCACACCATTGTTGTAAAATCGTTTTTTATTCCTCCTATAAACCTCACAAAAAGAAGTTAGCAGTTTAACGTATTTAGCCGACGATATACTTTCAAACATCTAGAAGCCTGGTGTTAAACTGACAGACTCAAATGAGTTTTTAAATGCAAGCATGAAGCATACAAACAGGATATATTATTTTTGGCTATTTGCATTGCATGCTATAGCTTTCACTCGGTACGACAGAAACTTCTGTCGGAAATCAGTTTGTCATACCATATTTTTCCGAATGAGCCTAAAATTTCCATCAAACCTTGTAGGCTTCATTGGATTCTCTGATGTGAAATTCTCTTGTCACGCTGTATCTTTAAGTCAGTATGACAGGTACTTCTGGCAGGATGCCCCGTCTTACTGAGCTCTTCTGGTTCATTTACTTAAAAACTACATATTATTACTAAATTTAGTCGAATCCGGGATGAAGATATACTCAATGCCACCAGCTCCCGGGTCATTTCTATTCGCGATGCGTATGCCGCTGCCTAATCTCTCCCCCACCTTCACGGAGTCACCCCGCAGCACTGGGCTGCGAGCCGTGCTCGGCGCTGCGCTGGTGGCAGCACCTGAGTTGGGAGTAGCGTTGCCGGGTCGCCAAACATAATAGCCGGACAGACCAGCCAGTTTGGCCGGACATTTAGTTAAAAAAGCCGGACACCCTATATTATTGAGGATTTTGTCTTAGTATTAATAGGTACGACAAAATTTTTTTATGTAAAATCAAGTCTTTTTGATTATTATCATAAATCTTGTTAATTTCTAGTGAAATAACAAATAAAATCGAATGCCAAATCAGTCTTAGATATGTACTTTATTATTAATCAGTCAAATAGTCACCAGTCAAAATTAAATTCTAGATACATAAACATTTATCAACATATTTGAATTTTTCTTAAATAATAAGAAAGCCACAAATTATTCTTTTTTAACTAAAAAAATCAATAACTTCTCTTTAAGTTAAAATATAAAACAAACAAAAACGTTTTCTCTTTGAGTTACACAATAAAATTAAATTCTAGATAATTAAACATTTATGAACAAATAAGAAATTTTTATCTAAAAAAATAAATAACTTCTTTTTAAGTTAAAATATAAAACAAAAAAAAAACATTTTCTCTTTGAGTTACACAATAAAAATAATTATTAATATTTTTGGTTTGTCGAAACCTGCTTTAAGAGCTCAGTTTCTTTCAAAATGTAGTTGTAAAAATCCTTACATGTCAAATGTTTTAAATTAAATTCTACAACCAACATTTTGGCAACAGGATCAACATGTAATCTGTTGCGTTCTTTCTTCCATTGCTGACCTATCAAGGAAAAAACTCTTTCAACGTTTGCGTTATGTCTTGGGATAGCAAAGTAATACTGACAAATGGTTAGGAATTCTGAAAAGCAATCTTGACTTATCATCGATTTAAAATAGGCTACCCATTTCTTATGTGCTAATAGCTTCTTGAAATCAACGTTCTCTTTGTTAGTATTCAGAAAACTTTTAAGATTTTGCAGTTGGTCAAAACATTTGCTATAGTCGATTTTAACGTTGTTTTGCGATAGGATACTTATAGTATCTGAAACTTGATTCCATTCAGGAACATCTTTTAAAGTCATCCAATGTTTTGTGTCTTTGTATAAGTTTTCAGTCCAAGATCGGCAGTGCTCGCTTGTTTGCGAAATGTAAAAAGCCTAACAAAAGCCGGACAAGACGGACACCGTTTATTTTAGCCGGACATGCAATCAAAAAGCCTAACTATGTCCGGCTTTATCCGGACGCCTGGCAACGCTAGTTGGGAGGCCTGATTGTAAAGGAAGATGAGGAATTGGATGGAATGTATTTAATATTCTATTTTCTTGCAAAATACAGACAAATCCACACTATTTAACAGGTATGTAATGATAACACTCAGTATATTGAATTCGAGATTGCCATGCATTAACCCGACAGTGGTCGCTATGTGAGATTTTCTCTCACATTTTTATGAATAAATAGATAAATTTGGCCTTTTTGCAGTTATAACAAGAGCAAAATAAAGGTGAAACCCTTTGGATGTCCTCTAAACATGAATGAAAACCTTTAGATTATCTTTTTTATAGATCTGCCACCAATGTGATGTTGATGACATTGATAATGATGCGCCCAGTGAAAAAAGTTCGCATAAGACAGTTACTGAACAATCGCGAAAAATGCTAAATCTCCAAACAAATTCTGGATGTTGTTCTTCCCTGATATTATAATTCAAGAAATTATTAATTACACTAATAAAAGTATTTGCATAGGATGTGTGAAAAATATACACGCGAACGAGACTGCATAGACACATCTTTAGATGAAATTCGTGCACTTATAGGACTTTATATTCATAGGTACGTCCTGGATTCTGTAATAAATCTTATCAAATCAAATATTTTTTTAATAAAAGGATCCGCGTAAGACTATTTAAACAGACTTAATTTTGTGCCCAAGCAAATGTGAGAGAAAATCTCACGCGCGACCGATAGCAAGAAAAAGCGTCTAGCGACCAATCCCGGGTTAACAAACGTGCAAACCTGCTGCCAAATTTAACAGCTAGAAAATCGACCTATTATTTGCCGCATTCCCATTGGCTTTGGGGATAACTGATAGTTAAATGTAAATTTATAACATAAATCAAAATACATGAAAGTTATCCTGTTTTCCCTGTACAAAAGCATCATGTTGGAATCAAAAAGTGGTCTTGTTTATAATACAGTCGACTTTTCACGATTTTATTCAATATTTCAATAGAAATCACTGATATTCAGAGAGCATTGACAGCTTCCGTCAAATTGCATTTCGATAAAGTATTTTCCCATTGGTGCATAATATTAGTGTTGGTGAAATTGTGCCTTAGTGTAGTTTGTGTGAATCAATAATAAAAAGGAGTATGTTTGTCCAAAAAGAAGCGACGAAGTATTGATGACTATGTATTTATGAAAAAGTTTCAAAATAATTTGTAATTGTGGAGGTATTTACAATAAGCAGAAAAATATTCACTTTTGCAATGTATTGTATTGTACTATGCTCCGATATTATCAAACCGCTACATATTCAATGTAAACACTACTAAAAACACCAGGTAAATCTCAATCATGAGAATTTTGAAGTCTTTGTCGCGGAAAAAACGAGAGTAAACCACTAACAAAAGTGACGACCAACGCAATATAACCTGATACTTCTGACCACGACTTCTCAGCTAGAATGGTTGTACATGCAGTGCGAGTCTTTAATGTGTGATCGGTCGTTAGTTTCGATATTTTAAATAGAAAAAATAGTTATAAAAATTATAGGCAGCTTATAGCAACTTTGATATATCATGCTATAGGGTTTGGACTGCGAGTTCTGGAGCTATGGAGTGTTTTGTACGAAAACATAAAGTAGCAAAAATGAGCTTCATATCCCATAAGTCCCAACACCGACTTCACAAATAGGGACAGTCCCTTTGTATAAGTTTTATAAAGTATTGCAATTACTCTTTACACTTTTTTGAGGTTTTAGACGTGTGTCTTGTCTGGTATGTTTATGAAGAAACATCCTCAGTGTCGTGAATTTACAATTCTTTACCGCTTTATATTATACAGCAGTAACTTTTCTTTCATAAATAATTAGTCATTAATACTTTGTCACTTCTTTTTGGACAAACATACTTCTTGTTATTATTGGTTCACATATACTATACTAGATCATATCAGAATTTTATAATTTTACGATTGCAAAGAATATCTATGGCCGCTCGAATGGTATGCGGCAACACCGGCTGCTACTGAATACGAAAACCTCTTTCATCGTTGTACTGCATTTACTCGTATTTTGCAACTTAGTCCCCATTTAAGCGACTTCGTATCTCTTGCAGTACCTATAGTCAAATAACTTCGTTTTGTAAAGATGCAACAACCTTTTGGGTGCCTCTGAAATCGCATGTTGCTAACGAACAGACAAAGTATCATTCAGCACGGTATTTGTGAAGCCAATTAAAGTTGCAATGGAACTATTTTTTATTATATGCGAAGATCGTCTCAAACATGACCCCTGTTTAAACGACCGTGGTTTATGAGATGCAACATTTTATTTCTCAAGCTACAGATAGTATAAAGAGATTGTAGTTACCGATCGATATGGACTTGAAATAACTACGGCAAATTTAAATTCATGTGTATGAGTAAAGAGAACGTCTAGAATATCCAATTACTGATTGATGGTTTCCGCACCACATTTTGAATGCTGATCGTAATATCGCGTCAAGTATTCTAAAATCAATATTGACTCTGAATTTTTAGCATTTAGAACGTTTGGAATTTATACTGGACCAGCAACTTTATTGCTAAAGAGTTAAACTCAGAAAAGCTTAGCTAAACCTGAGTCGTTTCTGAAATAAACGAGTCGAGTATTATCAACACAAAGCAATTGTTGATTCAAGCAAATCATGTATGAGAAATCAAATGCTTGTATCTAATAATAACAATATATAAAGATAACCATGTATCTAGTGTCCATTACTAATTATTCATCCTCTTTAATTATGAGAGAATACATTCGATAAAAATATCAATCTGAACTCACCATAAGCGGCATTATGCGCAGCGTCTGCGTAATAAGCTCCATAGAGTTTGTAATATATGGGGATTCAGGGGTAGTCGAAATAATAGGTCTTACTTTAAGACCAGCTAAAAAGTAATTATACTCGTATTTTCCAACCCAAAAATGATACACTTGCATTCCACAGTTGTTTATGCCTACCACCGTTTATAAAAGTATACATAATAATATAGTTATATTCTTAAACAATCTCACTAACCTACTTACACAATTTTCTAATTCTAAATACATTATAATATACAGTATGATTATATATTAATACTCCAATTATACTACATACACGAAAAAAAGAGAAAAAAAACTGAAAAAAGGTTTAATATACAGGTACATAAAATTACTTTACAAAATATGGTTTTACTCTATTCTTGTGTATTAACTTATTTTTATTTCCTATTTTCACTAAAATATTCGAAGCTTTATCTTCGATAACCACATATGGACCGTTAAACAACGCTTCCATCTTTGTACCGCCCTCATTTTTTATTAAAACGTTATCCCCTGGTTTATAGCTAATAGTATTTATTTTTAAATCGTAAGTTTCTTTCCTTTTATTTTTTGAAATTAGTAAATTAGTCGTTGCATCAGCCTGAGCCTGCTGCAAACGAAATTTAAGTTCTAATGATTATATAAAGGATCAACCAGTCGTTTTATATTTGAAGGCAAATTGCAAACCTTACCAAAAACTAGTTCATACGGCGTGTACTTTGTTCCTGTATGAACAGTAGTATTAAATGCAAAACTCCAAAATTGTACCCATGAACTCTATGAATCTGGAAACATAGCACATTGCATCCTTAAATATGCCCCCAAACGTTTGTGCGTATTTCCTAAACTACCCAAACTTTGATGGTGATAAGCTGAGGAACAAATTTGTTTAACCTTAAGAATATTACAAATTTCTCTTAATGTTGTCGATATAAACTCTGTGCCCTTATCTGAACCTGAACAAAAGCTCTAGCAACTGTTGTTGCTTCCTTATTTTTAATGGGGTAACATTCAACGAATTTCGTAAGTTCGCACTGTAATGTAAGTATGTATAAATTAACTCCCGAATCTGCTGTGAGTGGCCCAACAAGATCAAAAAATACCTTTTGGAATGCTGACGATGCGGTTGTGGTGATTGACATAGGCTCAACATAAGGCCTTGAATGTTTATATATTTACTTAAAAAATTTTGAACCTCCCTTTGTAAGCCATTCCAAAAGTAAAATTTTTTGATATTGTTGTACATACGATTCATTCCCGCATGTCCACCTGTTGGCAAAATGTGAAAATCGTTTAGAATTATTTGACTCATATCCTTATTTTCTACCTTTTGTACCTCTCTTATTATTGATATTTGTAGTTTAATATCTTTCATTTCGTTGGGATCCCTTAATACATGTTCAATAAATAACTTATTTTTGATATTTTTTAATATTATAACTTCCGGAATTTTAATTATTTCGCAAATTTCTTTTAAGTCCTTCAACGATGCACCAAATGCTAAAGCTGAACAGGTATCCTTAATTATGATTGCGTTTTCATTTTTTTTTAAATGTTACATTTCCTAAGCAAAAATTTCCTTTATTCATATTTTTATCAAATTCATTTACTGCTACACAATATTCCTCAACAGAATTTTTCGGTGGTTTCAATAACTCTACCACTCCAGGGTGATCAAGCCTTTCGTGAATAGTATTATTAAAACTGTCGTCAGTAATTAGTTTACTTTGTTGTCGAGTAATTGCATTTATGCATTCACTACCTGGCATATTTTTTTAATTCATCCGAAGTGATTGTTATGCGAGACAGCCCGTCGGCTGCGGCATTATTTTTCCCTTTTAAATATTGTACCTCAAAATTGTATTCTTCTAAAAGCAATCTAAATTTTGTTAAACGGCTAGAAGGATTAGTCATTCCGAACAAATAAACTAAAGGTCGGTGATCTGTGAATATGACGAATTTCCTAACAAATAAATAAGTCCTAAATGTTTTTACCGCGAAACAAATAGCCAAGAGTTCCTTATCTATTGTTAGATATCGCCTTTCGTGAACGTTCAAACTTCGACTAGCATAAGCAACAGGCATATTCCATCCCCATTGCACAAAACTGCGCCCAATGCCACATTTGAAGCATCAGTTTTAACAATAAAGGTGTTAGCCTCTGTAAAATCGGGATACTGCAAAACAGGAGGATTCATTAATGCTTGCTTTAATCCTTTAAATGCTT